CAATTATCAATTTTATTCCCCTTCAGCTCGTTGTTCATTCTTTCAATGAAGGATTCAATTCTTTTCTCCATGGGTGAGCCTGCTTGACAAACTCTATTTGTGCACATAATGTGCTGTTAAAATAGACATAAACATATAAATTAATGAATTTTTAGCAATTATAAATCATATAAAACAATACCTATACTTTAAAAAAGAAGTAAAACTCACATGAAGCATTGTTGAGAAGTAAATCTTGTTTCTTGGCCTTTTATGATTAAGAAACCTTGCCCATGTATCTATCACACAATTTGTCACTTCAACATCATGTCCAAGTGTTTTCATTTCTTGTCTATTGATGTGATTCAACCCATCATAATATAAAAGTGCACTGCAATATGAACATTTAGTAATATAAAGATGAACATATTTTCAAAGAACATATTTAACCTTATATAAAATTAGTAAGAGTAAATACCTTTCATCTTTTCAACTTAGTGCAAATTCTACTGCAACTTGGTTCATCGTTTTCTCATCTTTGAACAGATCCTTGTATTTGATCATGTAAGGAGATCGAAAAGCAAGAGGAATTGTTTGCTTTTCACGTTTTGGTCTTGTTGTACATTAAATTAAGTAGTGTTATTAAGAACATTATTTCTTATATAAATGGACATTTATATGTATATAAAAAAAATATAAAATTGTACCTTTCAACTTTTTGCTTTTCTGCAATTGACTTTTTCTTTTCATTATTCCTGGACATATTAAATAAGAAAAATGAACATTTAGTTATCTGAAAATGTTCATTAATTATTTTGAACATTAGTTTTATGTATGTACCTTTTTGTGACTTTTGAGGATGTTGTATCAGTCTCCTTGGGTTCACTGAAATGTCAAACAGTGTCAGTACATATAAATAAAATGATAAGTCACATAATACATTATGTGCGTTTTCAATTCATAAAATCAAACATATTTATATAACATAAACCACACATTCATAATACATATTCAACAAAAAGTTGTACACACATACAATAGTTTTTGAAACACCATTTTGAAGTTACAACACAATAGTTACATAAGTTAAATTGTTCCATCTAGATAATTTATCCTTACTAATTACATAACCCTAATAGTAAGACATGTCTTCAAGTTTTTACCCCTCTACTTTGTCATCATTCTTTGTTTTTCCAAAAACATCTTCCTTTTCTTGATCTGCTTCTACGATTGGATCATCACTTTTTCCACCAATATCTGACCTAGTGTTAGCATCAACTTTTGATCCAGATCCTGCATCTAAGAAGAAATAATATTAAAAGTGAATATTATTTCTTTGTAAATGAATATTTTACTCCTTATAATTGAACATTTTACCATTTCTAGGCAATCCTTCAATATCTTGTTCTGAAGCTGCTGAAGTTTTACCCATATCCGTTTCTTCAGCTGTTTTATAAATCATCATTATGGATAAACATAAAGTTAATAGTATTTATACATAATAATTAGAAAATATTCAATTTTCATTTATGTACATTATTTATTATATAAATGAACATTACCCTTTGTTGCAGTTGTTGGTGGTTCAATTGTATTATCAAGTGTTGAAGTGTTGGGTCCTGTTCCTGTTTTTAAAAATTAACAAATTAAAACAATTTAGACCACAAATTAAAAAAAATTCTATATAAAAATCAAAATAGTGTCTGTGAGTTAGAATTTACCAATGGCTGGAGAAGGTGGAGTCAACCCCAAGCTAAAAGCTTTTCTGATGTCATATTCTTCTTCCTTTTCCTTTCCCTTTTTGGTCATTTTCTTCAAAGAAATTTGCTTTTCAGTTATTTGCCTCTCAGATGCTTGCATCAGTTCCTTCTCAGCCTGATCAAGTGCATTCAGGAAATCATCACTGCTAAAGAATTCTTCATCTTGGCTTAGAATAGACGGTTCCCTACTTGCCACTTTTCCTAACACTTCATCAACTTTTTTCACCAAGTCATTTCCAGGAAAGATGTCCTTTGCCTTCGCCAATTTTGTAGAAAGCATTGACAGGTTTGAACAAGTTGTCTTCACCAGGGTTACAAAATCATCCATGAAAACCTAGATTATAAGAATAAATATTCAGAATTATGCGTGTGAACATTTAATATCATACAAATGAACATTTATGTTAACAATTTTGATTATTTTATAACCTGAGAACTTTCTTCAACTTTTGCAGCAATCCTTGGTAGAATTTTTCCTCTCCCAAATCCCAAATCAATCTCAATCTTCATCCTTTCCACAGCTGTAGACACCTAAAAATGTCTCCCCAAAACCAAACCCGATGATGAACAACCTTTCACCGCCACTATTGGTCGGGTTCAGTATTTAATCCCGAGAGTGCTTAAAATATCGTATTTGATTAAATTCATATTTTTGAACAGTCCATGGATTAGTCTTGATGTTTGGTAAAAGCATAGTTTTAATTTCAGCCCAAATTTATTATTTAATTTTAGCCCAAACCTTTTAAATTTATTATTTAATTTTAGCCTAAACCTTTTTAATTTATTATTTATTTTTGGCCCAAACCTTTTATTTATTTTATTTAATTATTTTTTTTATTTTAGCCCAAATGATAATAAATCAGAAAAGGCCTGAAATTGTCAATCGGCACTTAAAATGCTGAATGAAATTAGGGTTAAAAATGTATTTAGACAGAAAAGCGGGTTAGGAATTCCCGCGCCACGGCAGGTACCCACCGTGTCACGGGAATCCTTCCCTTCTGACGGTGGGATTTCCCGTGACACGGGAAATTCCGTGTCTTTTCCGCGTAAACCCTTAACGCATTTTCTTCCCCGCTTACTGAAAATTTCCCGCGTCACACTAAAAATGCACCGTGTCACGGGAACGTTTCCCGACTGACGGTGGGACTTCCCGTGTCACGGTATAGTTTGCCGTGTCGCGGGATACTTTTTTAGGGTTTTTATCATTTTAGGGTTCCGTGTGCTCCCTCGGCACATTTTCTCTGTAAATACCCCCTCATTTCTGATGTACGGGGCATCAATTAATTCTCTATTTTTCTCTCTTCTATGCTCTAGCCTAAACACTAGCCTACCCTTCTATTTCAAAATTCCTTCTTCAAGTACTCCAAGAAGTCCATACTTTACTCGTGGTTCTGTCCTTAAGCCAAGGCGTGAAAGGTAGAACTGTTTGAGGGTTTGGCCCCAAATCAACTCTAATTCATTTAATTTAATTTAATTTTTGTTTTATTATTTCCTTGAAGTTACTAACTCGTTTATTATTTTGTAGTTGCAAACAAACAGAATCAAAGTAAGAATTATATTCCTTTTATTTCTATTATTTTTCTAACGATTTTATATTGTTGGAATTATGGCTAAATTGCTTCCAATATTAATGTTTATTATATTTTTTTTATGATCACCATATTGCATGTTTAAAGGGAATATGTAATTGAAAATCACGCCTAATAAGATAATTTGGACAACCGGTTTAGGTTCCTTTTTAACCTTGTTATTTAATTCAAGTGATCACAAATATTTTAGAATTATATGTTGCATTAATATTCAACCAATTTAGCTTAATAATAGTTTGGAGTAAATTGAATCTTTATTTGCATGCCTTTGAGATCGCAGGAATCACTTTTCACTATAAGAATCGAGTAGAGGCCCATACGGGCGAATGTGAATCCATGACTCACTTCGTACCATCATCCCCGATCCTCCTTTAGTGGTTTCGAACCATATGGAGTTAGTAATCTCATGGATTATGAATGGGGTGTAACCTTCACGGGTCAATCGTTGTTGCCTATCGTTGTCTCTTTATCGTGGTCGCCTTTTATGATCCGTGAACGGTTTACAAGTTCCTTAAAAACTTGTTGGCGGCTCCCTACTTTCCTTGTCCCTAATCGTATATGTCAATTCCCACTTCCTATAAGTGCCAGCATATTCACCACATGCTTTAACGTAGGCGCACTTCGAACGACGCCTACAACATCCATGTCTCTTTTCCATACAAAAATAATAGGAAATGTTTTTGGAGGCCTTTTGTCCAACCTCTGAACCCTATCAAAGTAAAACAACTATAGGAACAAATAAAACAAGTAACATTAACAATATAATAAATGAGCATTTATCAAAATATGAATGAGCATTTTGTATCTAATAATTTACCATCAGAAATTGCAGAGGGCCTTTGTAGATACCCTTGCCTTGCTGCTTTCTCCAATCAACATGACTTCTAATAAGTGAGTCAAATACATACCGACACCAATTCAAATTCTTGATTTTTTCTTTCTCCATCATAGAAAAAAGAAACTTGAAATGGCATTGATTGTTTGATTTGCATTTCATCATGCAGTTCACCGCCACTGCTAAAAAGTTAGTTATGAAATGTTCACTTCCTGGTATTTTGTTTTTGAATTTGTCATGTATGTATCCATTCACAATCTGTAAACAAAATGAACAAAATTTTTACAAATTTGATCATTTAATGTATTATAAATGAACATTTAAAACTGATCATACCTGACTCACTGATGGAGTTTTTCCTGACCAAGATTTTCTCCACTTCTTCAGAAATTCTGCATACTCCTCACTAGCTTTATCAGACTTTGCCTCAACAATTAGAATTTCTCCTGTGGGAAATCCATAAACTACCCTCACATCCTCTACCTCAATTTCTATTTTTTCATTCTTCGGCAATTCAAAAGTTTGGCTACTCTCTTCAAAACTTCCCAAAATCCAATTACAGAATCTTTGATCAAGTTGAGGTAAACTGATGTCAAGAAGTGATCCTAACCCTATATCAACAACTTGTTGTTTTTCCTCATATGTCATTTTTTCTATCCATTGCATGAACTTGACATGTCCTCCTCTTTTTGATGCTTTCTCTTCCTCAAATTCTTCTTCCTGTATTTCCTCAACTTCCTCAGTTTCCATTGCTTCAACTATTTCAGTTTTCATTTTCTTTTTTCCCCTACCTATGCTCTGTCCTTGATCATACACCACCAACTTTTGCTCCCCCTTTTAAGCCTTTGCCTTCACCAACTTCTGTGCCTTCCCCCTTTTTGCTTGTTTCTTCTTTGGAATTATTTCCTCCTCGTCCTCCTCTAACTCATCATCTTCCTCACTGACAGGCTCTGGTTCAGCTTTATATATTGACTCTTCACTATCATCTCCACTGTCAGTTGAACTTTCATCAATAGGATCTTGAGATGGTTCATCTGATGGTACTTGTATATTTTTCCTCTTCCCAGCATTTTTCTTGGCAGGGCTGACAACTGAAAATTGAAATTTATATAAAAATCATCTACATATGTTTTTTAATGTATTGAAAATGAACAGTAAGCAAATAAAAAAATGAACAAAACTGCTTTTATAAATGATCATTCTGTATATATAAATTGAACATTTATAATATATAATTATATACCTGCTTTTCTTTTGCCAGCAACTTTAGAAGTTTTCTTCACTTCTTCTGCAGTTTTCTTTTTTCCACCTATATATTAAAATTGAACATTACTAATACATCATTATATATGATCATTCTATATATTAAAATTGAACATTTACCCTTTTGCCTTGTACAACTTTTTCAGCGGGAGCACCTGGCATTTTTTTAAGAGGTGCTGCAGAATATTTAGCAGGAGCACCTGCCATTTTTTTATTGGAGTAGGTGCTGGAGATGGTGCATCAGTTTCCTTTTGAACAGGAGAAGTCCTTGTAGACATTTTTCTTTTCTGACCTTTTTTCATGGTTTCTTCAGCAGCCTCAACAGACTGCTTCTGGCCTTCCTTTCCAGATTCATCCAACAGGACATCTATTTTTTAAAAAAAAAAATTACTAGTTAGTAAAGTTAAAAATGTAATATTTATTGTTAAATAAAAAAGTATTATCTTTACCTTGGCTTCTTGTAATTCTACCACTTGGCACAACAGGACTTTTATTTTTGTTTTTCCTTGCAACCATTTTGTATCTTGATTTCTTTTTGGTTGACTGTTCACTCTTTTGAGATGATGCAGCTGTTTCCTCACTTATTTTTTCAAAATCTTTATCCATATTTTGATTTAGCAGATGAGTTTCATCCTCAATTTCAACAAAATCAGAAGCCATTTGTCCTGCATATTAAATGATCAAATATAAAATAGTAAATAAACATTTAAGTAAATACGATGACAAGGATGCAATATACAAAATATAAATGAACATTTCAGATAATGAATATTACCTTTCTTTTGCGTTTCATTTGTAGTTGTATCTTTCATTTCTTTAGGCTTTGGCATGGCTTGCTCTTGTCCATCTATATAAAATTAATTAGTGGAAATTATTAATCTTTTTGAACATTAATATTATTCAGATCAAAAATGAACATTTAATGTAATGAATATGTACATTTTTCAGTATTTACCTTTCAGGTTTGTTGTCTTTGGAGAGACATCTTGCACAGTTTTCTCCTTAGGGCTTTTCTCTTTTTCAGGCCCTTGTTTTCCCTCTTGTCCTTCTATGAAAATTTAATAAGTTAAAATTGAAATTTATTAAGTTTATTGAACATTGAATATTATTCAGATCAAATATGAACATTTTATGTAATAAAAATGTACATTTTAAAATTTTAACCTTTTAGATTTGTTGTCTTTGGAAAGACATCTTCCACAGTTTTCTCTTTAGGGCTTTTCTCTTTTTCAGCCCCTTTTTTCCCTCTTGTCCTTCTATTAAAATTTAATTAGTTAAAATTTAATTTTTTTTAATCTTATTGAACATTCAATATTATGCAGATCCAATATGAAAATTTTTTGTAATAAAAATGTACATTTTAAAATTTTTACCTTTCAGCTCTGTTTCCACAGTTTCTCTTCTACTGGCCCTTTTTTTTTCTTTTTTGCTTCACCTTCAAAAGTAATAGTATTGTTAAAATTGATATTTATGACTATTAAACAAAAATATTCAATAAATATGATCATTTACCTCTCCTGATTTCCTTGCTTGCCTTTTCCATTCTTTTGAAATTTCTCATAATTCTAATTGTCGATTCTTTGTACTTCTTGTAAATGTATGATATTGTTATATAACTTTGAAATATATACATTAATTGATTATATTAATTCAATTATTCAAATTTAAACATACTTTGGGTTTCTCTCTATGTCTAAATGTATTTCTTGCATCTTGTCCTTTAATGTTGTTATTCTTGCATCATCTTTGGGTTTTCTGATAATTCATTAAAAATATGTTTGAATTTACAATTTTGATTAATAAATAAAAAAAATGAACATAAAGTCAATAAAAAATGAACATTTAACTTATCTTACTATTGGCCAGGAGTAAACTTTTTTGTACTGATTTGCAAATGAACATATATTCTATCTAAAATGAACATTTAAGTTATCTTACTTTTGGCCAAGACTATTCTTTTCTGGATTGCTTTGCCCTTTTGGTTGAACTTCTTCTTGTTTGCTGAAATCAATATTAAAAAATACTTTAAATTAAAATGAACATAAATGGTACACAAATAGATAGTTATCAAAAATGAAATGAACATTATATATTTATACCTTTGATCAACTTCATTTTTGTCCTTTTTGTCAGGAGTATTATTGTATGGATTGCTCTGCTCTTCTGGTTGAACTTGTTTTTGCTTGCTGAAATCAATTTTAAGACTTTTAATAAAAAAAATGCACATAAATTGTACACAAAATATACAGTTATCAAAAATGAAATGAAAATTATTCATTAATACCTTTGATCTTCATCATGTTTGTCCTTTTCAGGTACAATTGTATCCTGGTTTTGTTCCACATTCTTTTCACTGAATATTATATATATTCATTAATTAGAATTTGTATTATAAGAAATGAACAAATTTTGTATGTAAAATGAAAATTTGTTTATATAAAAGTGAGCATTAGTATACCTTTGATCCCTATACTCTTTTTGTCAGTTGTGTTATGTGTAGCAGACACACTCTTAGTTGTTGCATGAGTAGCAGAAATGTTCTCACTTTGTTCACTTAAAAACAACAGAATTATTTTATATAATATGATATTAAAGTATGAACTAATTTATACAATGAAGAAGATAATTAGTTATTTTGGTATAAAGCTTTTATACCTTATTGTTTGATTTGTCTCTGGTGGTCTTGATTTTGACATAACAAATTTCACTCGAACCTTTTTTTTTCACTAAAATTTTAAGAATTACCTAATAAGTTTGGTATATATATACAATGGACAATAATTGCATGTAAAAACAATTATTTTATACATATAAACTTACTTGTTTAAAGTGTATCTTTGATAACTATTACCATATTCATTTTGTTCTATAACCTTCTTTAGAGTTAATGGTTCAGATTTTTCATCTCTAAATTGAAGCAAGTGTATCACTCTAAATGGCACATCACTACATTATAAATTAATTACATGACATTAGTTTGAATGCATATCACTGAAATGATTATTATCATATTTATATATGTGCATGATGTTTTAATGAAATGTACATTTGTTATTTGAATCTCAATGAATACTCAAATGAACAAATATACATATATGATCATAATTATATCTATAAATGAACATTATGAGTATCAAATATGATCATATACAATGATGTTTCATTGAAACGTACTTTTGCTCTTAAATCTCAATGAATACTCAAATGAACAAATATAAATATATGATCATAACTATATCTATAAATGAACATTATGAGTATCAAATATGATCATATACAAATAGCATATTAAACAAAGATGAAACCAATTTTTATCAAATACGACTAACATATTAGACATGAACATAATATATTCTGTAAATGACTAATTACCTTGGTAATATATGGAGACATTTTAAAATCCGTACCAATTGACTTGTCAATATCTTTCAAAAGTTCAAGATCTACAATTGGAGCATTTTGGCGGGTTTTTTTTCAACTTTTCTATTGTTGACTGAAGAGGTACATCATCATCGTCTCTGTTTTGTTTGATAAATTTTTATTGTTTATATTAATTTGTTAATATTCAGTAAAATTTACTACAATGGCAAGAAATTGAACAAAAATTAGGGTTCATACATACAATTGAACTAAATTGAACAAAAGTTAGGGTTCATACATTTCTTCAGAAATTTTCAACAAATTACTCGACTCTGAAGTATTCTTTTCCAAAATCATACTACAATTGCAAAAAATTGAACAAAAATTAGGTTTAACATATATATTCGCTCTATAATTTTCATCGCAAGAAAATGAACAAAATTACTTACTCTTTGGTAACATTTTGCTCCGATTTTCCAGTTTCATCTTGCATGTTCTTCTCTAAAGCGTTTTTTTTCCAAAATCACTCTACAATCACAAGAAAATAAACCAAAATTAGGCTTCATACAAAAAACTGTACTAAAATCGCAAATTTGAAGCAATTATGTAGTGTTTTGAAGCAATTTTGCAATAATTTGAAGCAAATTTCATTCCGATTCGACGGTGTTGATGAGAGAGAAACTCTAGAAAAATGAAGAAGATGTTATTTAGAGAGAGAAAATGATTTGAAATGGATTGTTTTTTTTAATATATATATATATATTTATATATATATTTATATATATGTGGGGTAGGGGAAGTTATTTCCTAATTTACTGCGGTTAGTGGGGGTAGTTACTGTAGTTTGTGGGGGAAGGGGAAAAACGCAAAACGCTGCGTTTAGATGGGGGTGTAGGTTGTGGTACCTACACTAGGGTCTAGTGTATACCGATTAGTATAATTACACACATAAGTTGACGTCTCACCTAAAACATCAAAAATGCAGCCCATACCAACTAACTACGATTTTGGGCCCTTCCAAAATCCAAATCTTGCTGACGCCCATTTACTTTTTTTTAAAAAAAAACCTAAGGGCTAAGCCCACTCTTCTTTTTTTTTTTTTAAAAAAAAAAAACTCTTTTTCTACTTCCTTTGGCCTTCATTCAAGTTAGAGCTGTCAATTCGGGTAAACGGGTCGGGTTTGAGTCGGGTCATCTCGGGTCGAGTCAATACGGGTTAATGTCATAACATATGCGGGTTGGGTCATGCTTGAGTCGAGTCACGTCGGGTCATACATCTTATCGGGTTTGGGTCGGGTTTAGGCCGGATTAGTAAATGGTCGGGTTACATCGAGTCGGGTGAAAAATAGGTCAGGTTAAATTCGGGTCTTTATGGGTTTAAACGAGTTAGGGTCGTTCTCGGGTTCGAGTCGGGTTCGATTCAAGTCAATTATTTACGGCTTATAATCAGGTCGGGTCATTCTCGGGTTTGTGTCGAGTTCGGTTCAAGTCAATAATTTGCAGGTTATAATCAAGTCGGGTCATTCTCGGGTTTGAGTCGTGTTCAGTTCAAGTCAATAATTTGCCGAAAACATGTTTCGACCCTGAAATTCGTCCCTAAAAACATGTTGTGAAACTAACCTCTTAAAATTCAAAGTGAAATATTGAAGGAATAGAGTTAGGATTCAATTTCCGTTCTAATACCAACATGAGATAACGACCTATACATATTGATTCAATAACAAGTTCGGGTTGAATTTGGGTCAGGTCAATAACAAGTCGGATTGATTCGGGCCGGGTTGTAATTCGAGTCTGGTTTATAGCAGGTTGGGTAAAAATCGGATCGGGTTAGGAACAAGTCGGGTTGAATTCGGGTCGGGTTAGGAACAGGTCGGGTTGAATTCGGGTTTTGGCGGGTTAAAACGGGTTTGGGTCAATTTCGGTTCAGGTCAGGTTTGGTTCAGGTCAATAATTTACGGGTTACATTCGGGTCGGGTCGTCTCTAGGTTGGTTAATATTCGGGTTCGGGTCTCAAATACTCGGGTCAACTCGGGTTTAGGGTTGGTTTCAGGTCGGGTTTGAGTCACCATTTTTTTCGGGTTCAGACAGGTCGGTTAATAGGTCGGGTTAGGGTCAGTATTTCAGGTCGGGTCAGCTTTTGACAGCTCTAATTCACGTACGCTAAACTACCAAAGAGAGAGAAATAAATAAATAAATAATCTGGTGGTGCATCATCACTGCTTCCCAGCGTTGGAAACCACCGCCCGGACCGCCACCTGGCAGGCACCGCGTGCCAGTCGGTCTTCCCCTCTTCTCTTTCCTCATTATACTAGTTTGTAAATTCATGCTTAATTTTCATATGTTTTTCCTATTGATATTAGATACTTGTTTTAATGATCTAATTAATTATATGATGATATAAATTTATTTATTGGTTTTCAGATTTTATTATGTATGAAGCTGGGGTTTTAGACTTTGAAATTTTATGTGTTTAGGGCTTAAACCGTGTTTAGCAAGTTATCTAATTATTCTATGATTTCATAATGATAAAGCTTGTAATTTTATAATTAATATAAATTTTCAAAGTATATACTTTGCAAAATTTGGATTTTATGTTGATTGTTTCTAGGGTTTTAAGGTTTTTTAGCAGATTAAACGGGAGTCTTTTAGGAACAAAATTGGAGCTTAATTATGGAGAAAGTGGGGAATTTGGGAGGTAAAACAATGGAGAAACAATCGAGTATGATCTGAGACGGGTTAAGCTTTCGACATGTTGGTGAGAAACCTGAGAGTTCCGGCAAAACTATGGAGAAAAATGGGAGTTTCAAGGCGGTATAATTGAGAAACATGAGTTAACGTGGGTTGTTGGAGAAACAGAAGAGTTTTCATGGAGATGGAGAGGCAATCAACTTTTTGTGGCAATAAGAAAAGGAAAAGAAAAGATAAATACTGTAATTGGTTTTCTATTAATATGCTGCATAATAGTACTACGACAGATGGACTTTATTATTGAGTGTCATTATGAGTATAGAGATAAACTATATGATATGTGAACTGAACAACTGATTTATGGAACTTTGTTTGTATGCTAATTGATTTATATTGTGTGTATCTATTGTACGGTCATATTATATGAATTGATCTGATATGCAATTTAGTTGCTCTTCAGATTGACGAGTTGGCGACTATCTCTGATTCCCCTGCACCATTGGAGTGCTATTAGTATTTCATGTGTAAATAGCATGAAGTTTAATCATGGGTTGATTTTTTGCTGACTGTAAGTTGATATTGCAGGTCCTTGTTTATAGTATTATGGAAAAAAAGTATATATATCCTTTTTCTCTACCTTTACATGTTGGTAATGAAGATTAGATATTACTGAGGCTTTTCTTTATAAATAATACTTCTAACTGAAGTGCCATTTTGTTTGGCCGGTACCTTAATCAGAATGTATTTTGGAGTTCATATGTTATAATGTTGCATTATCTATTCTTTAGAGTTGTAGCCTGTTAGTAGTACATGCTCACATATGTTTACATCCGGGTCGATTTTGTAACAAGTCGGGTTAATAAATTCGATGTGGGTTAGTAATTGGTTAGGTTACATTCGGGTTTGACGATTTAAACGGGTTTGAGTCAATTTCGATTCAGGTCGGGCTTGGTTCGGGTCAATAATTCACGAGTTATATATTCAGGTCGTGTCAGTTGATGTTCCGTTCGGGTCTCAAATTCTCGGATTCACTAGGGGCTAGAGTTGGTTTCGGGTCGGGTCATATCAGGTTCGGGTCACCATTTTTTCGGGTTCAAATGGATCGCTTAATGATTGGGTTCGGGTCGGTTTTTCGGGTCGAATTAGCTTTGATAGGTCTAGATACATCGATAATTTTATTAACATGTAGCATATTTATGGAATTTTGTTCTCTTCTCAGATTATCCATGGAAATTACTCTTTAGTAACTAATAACTTGGTAATCACTGGCCTTAAAAAAAAAAAAAAAAAAAAACTTGGTAATCACTTCTATAAAAAATATTGGAGTACTACTCACCATTTTTTTTTTCTTTTTGGTTGTTACTATGTTTTATTAAAGACTATCTGCATCTATATACTCAATAATTTTTAATCCTATCTTTAATTATAACACGTGCATTAGCACGTGCATATTCTAGTGGCTAAGAGAGAGTAAAAGGGTAATCTAATATATAATTTAACAGTTACTTTTCACCAAAATCCTCCAAATCCCCAATCTTAATCTCTCATTCACTCCCGCCTTTTCCACTTAATCTCTCTACACAGCCTATTCTACTAACTTATTAGATTTGAATTTCAAAAAAATAAAAAATAAAAAATAAAAAAGAAAACCCCAAATCGTGGTAAGGCAGTTATCTTAACTCCACCACACTACTCCATAACTGCACACACACACTACAACAGAGTAATAGAGTATGGATTATATACTACATACTTTGCAACACTCATTTCACTCACACACACAAAAAAAAAAAACACAAATCTGATTGTTTGGGGTTTCAATCAGGTAACCAACATTTTGCTCACACAATTCCGGCGAAGTCATACATCTACGCCGTCGTCTTCGATGTTGCCTTCTTCTTCTTCTTCGTGGATTCACTTGAGATAGGTGCTTTTTGGTGTTACTAATTCATCTTCTTCTTCCCTAATTTCAAGGTAAAAACAAATTTTGTGTTAATTATTTGATTGGATTTATTAGTGGGAATGCATTTTAGACATTTCTGTTAATACGTTGTTGTCCTTTCTTTTTCTTTTACTCTGATTTTGCTTACACATGGATGCTGATTAGGGGATTTTGCTCCCACCAATTACCATCTGACAAGTGGACCAATCAGGTTCCGCCATGTGTCCGCCACATGAGCCAATAGGAGTCTGCCACGTGTCAAGCAATGATCCGTCCACCTTGGACCAATTACGACACGACACGTGTCCTTCCCATAACACCTGGGATAACCGGTCACCTAGGCCCAACTTCCGAGGGAAGCCCAATCAGCCCAAGGTTAACCTAAACCTAGATTGGCACGTTTCCCGAGGTTATAAATATCTCCCTTAATCCTCATTAAGGGGGAAAAAACAGGCTGATCACGCTAAAAAAGCAGATTACCTACATTAAACACTCTCACCTACAGAGACCCAATCACTTTAATTTCCGCATTAATTACTCCTTAAACAAGTACTAACTTGATCGTTAGAGGCGGAGCTCCCACCACAAGGAGTCTCCGTTGTTTTGCAGGTACAGGCGTTCGGTTCCAGTCTCGGAATTGTAACTCTCCCGCAGGACATCAGAAAACCCCGAAACATTTGGCGCCGTCTGTGGGGAGAGTACTTCTGAGATGGCATCCACGTTTGTACCGACTCCTGAAGAGAGGCGTCCCCTAGACGACCCTCAAGTTCAGTCGGACCACGATACTGAGAATGAATTTGAAGTTGAAGCTCACACAGCTTCAGACGGGACCCTACGGGCCCGACGTACCCGTCATACCGAAAG